CTATTGAAGTTAGGCGGTGGGAACGATTGCTGCGAATACCCTGCAGAGTACACAGGCTGGTAGTTGACTTGCTGTGGTATGACTGGTGGGGGAGGAGGATGCGGTACTGCGGGAGGAGGCATCATGTAAGGAAAGGTGCTTTGCCCAGCAGGAGTTCCTGGCACAGGAGCATTGCTAGGATTTGGCACGGGCGGGGGAGCAGGAGGGAAGCACGGAGGCACCGGGAAGCTCTGCCTCATCTGGTGGTTTGGAAACGGTGGCCTCATGGGACACTGGCTGATGGGATTTTGTGCGGAAGGGGGCACTGGAGGAGGATAGGGCACAAAGTCTGGCCTGGGAGGCATATAACTGGTGGTTGGAGGGTTTGAATAGGTTGTTGGAGGGGCAGTTTGCTGGTCATACTGGTATTGTACAGAGGGCTGTTGTGGGTGAAGCTGCCGTAGGTTCTGAGGGCGGTAGGTCTGTGTTGAAGTCCTTGCTCCTGGTCCCCCCTGACCACGGGGACATCCTCGCCCGGAATGGAAAGACATGGCTCACCTTTAATGAGGAAAATAAAAGTCCAGTGTCACACAATTTTTGTAGGATGTCCTTAATGCATTTGCAGGAACTACTCCCCAAGTACTGAAATTACAGTTTCTGCAATTTCCTTTAACAGAAGCAGTAAACAATATCCACGATCTCTCACCGAGAGCTTTGTGCTCCTCAGACCTCTAGTACAGGTCATTTATGGCCCTTTGATTCCTTTAAGCTTCTCATCCATGAAAGCACTCTACTGTCTTTAATCCAGAACCCCAGCTGGACCACACACTCTGACTTAGGGCAATGTTAATTTCAACAAGTGATTGATATGATGACTGGCCAAGGATACAAGTGCCTCTACTAGGACTCACTAGACACTTTGATATAAAGCCTTCAGATACCCCACGCCAAAGAAACCACTCATTTTAACAACTGCAATTGTCATCCAAAGTCCAATAACGAGGAGTTCTTTCTAGAACATGATTCTAAACTTCAGGCAGAATGAGTTTATAACACCTCATTGCAAGTTACCTGGTCCAACAAATCATGTAAATTTTAAATGAGATAGTAGCAATTTACATTCGCATTTGAGACCCAAATTTAGTAAAGGACTGAATTCAACAGACATTTCAAAGTATTTTAAGTTAGGTAGGTATATTTTTGTAGACTGAGAATCTTAAAGGTTACAGAAAAATTTATGTAGACTGTGCTGTTACTCCAATTTCATTGAAATAAATGGTTCCCAAAAAATCCCTCAGCTGCCAGCTTGGCCCTGTTACCTTTCCAGCAATTGCCACTGCTTCAAGTAGGCTTAAGTCTTGCTCAAAACTATGCATGTATTTAATGCCTTGTATTAACGTTTATAAATGAAAACAACTGTGCTTCATTAAAGTTAAAATTCATTCTTTAATTACAATGTTAAGTTTCAAGAACTGGAAAAAAGGAAAAAAATTAAAATAAAAAAAATCATTCATCGTGTCTTGGCTGGAATGGAGGGAGAGAAAAAAAACAATTAGTTAAGCAGCTGCAGAACTCAAATCCTGTTTTCGGGGGGGGGAGAAAGGAGACGCACACACAAAATTGGAAACATCACCAGATAAAAGAAAACAAAGCCTTCGTTTTACTGAGGCTCTGCTGAAGCTGAAATACATGCACAGAACATTCTCCCACCTGCTACCATGCAAAATGGCCAACCTGGACTGCTCAGAACACTGCTTTCATCTGCATTCTGGTGCCAGTGCTGCAAAAGACATAGCTTGCTGAGAGACAGCAGACAACTTCTGCTGAACCAGAGGGAAAAAGGAAAAGAAATGAAGGAAAGGACAGACATCAAGGAGGAGGAACCAAGAAGACCCTACGTCTCTCCTTACACACGCAGGGCTTAGTGGAAGCCACTGGAATTGGCGGTGGTAGCATTCATTCCCTCTCCAGAGCTGAATCAATTTTGCTTTAGTTCTCCAGTCATGATCTTACATAGCTCAGGCTTCTAACAGAAAACTGTTTTATACTTTGCTGACATTTACATACACATTTTATTTAAACAGGCTGAGCAAAACTCTTATTACCTTAAACAAATTAAAGCAAAGGCCACTGTACCGCGGTGCCTTGCCTTAAAGCACATTTCTTTTTAACATGTCATAGGATTTAAACAAAGGGTCTTGTTTATCAGCTCTCTTAAATAGAGCTCTAAGACTTCCCTAACACCAGGGAGAACCGCTCTGGTTCTACCACTGTAATTTCACTGCTTCAGAACGCACAGAATCACAGC